ATAATTCAATTGAGTTCCTCCCGGGTTCTATGGTAATAGCCTGAACTCTGGGAGAATGGTCACACTGCCGTACTATCACTGCCTTGGAGCATTTGTTAATATTAATAAAATGCACACAAATTATTCATTCAACCAATATTCTTTGAGACCTGCCATGGGTACTGGGTAGCGACAGAGCTGGGGCCAGGAGGCAGGTCTGCCCGCTCAGCAGACCCTGGCTGACCCCAAGGCGCTGTGTGAGCGCTGACGCGGGCAGCACACTCTCCTGAGAGGACGGCACGCTGCACTGCACACGTACAGTCAACCTGGCTGCTCACAGTTCCCTGTAATTCTGCAGAACAGCAGCCCCACAACCCTCTCTGGGGCTGCACTTCCCAAAACCTTCACCTGCAGCCCACACATGCACCCACACTTCCATTTGCCGTTTATTTCCACATGTTTAGCTGCAACTAAAAAGCTCTCCTTCTGAGGAATGTTTTCAGCAATTGTGTTACCTGCTTTGAACTTGTTTCTCCTGAGCCATCAGCCTTTCTCTCTTCCCCACTGAGAAACTGACTGAAACAGCAGGAAGCTGACAGGTTTTTGTGCAGAGACTGGACACAGCATAAAAAAGTCTGAGATTTCTTTTTTCTCCTTTAACACAAGACATCTTCCAGTGCATCTTTATTATTATTATTATCATTATTCACCAAAAGCTTTTGTTATCCAGAAAGGTAATTGAGAACTAAGGACTTTATTCAACCAATTGCTCTCCCGTGGCGCTCTCCTGGGGAATGGCTTACACCCTAAATACAATATTAAAACCCTTGGTTGAAGAACAGAGCAAGTGAAAATGCGTTCTTCTGATCTTCTCTGCTCGTTGGAGCTTATTCAACCCATGGCACATTTTTCAGTAAGCAACAGCGGGATATTTACCCTGCTCTGCTCAGAGAGAAAGAAAAATAAAGGAAGGGACACGGAGCTTTAAAAATAGCATCAACAGCAGAAGCAGACATACCCGGGAGCTGTGTCTTACTCGACCTCATATCCACCAAGCCAAGCCCACGGCCCGGCCCACAGCAGATGCTCAGTAAGCATTTGCCAAGTGAATAAACGAGTGAGCAGACACAGTGCCCGGCACCAGCTCTTTCCTGTAAGAACGGCTGGGAGAGACACTCAGCCAATAGCCACGTTCGTGGCCCTGGCCAGCAGAGGGCCTCACATTTACACAGTACCTCACCCTGCAACTTGCACCCCCTGCAGAATCACCCTCAAGAGGACTCTGCCAGGACAGGAGGATTCCTCTAGAAAGCTGTGTCCAAAGAGAGTCCCAGGCCCCCTGTCGATCTTTAGAGGCCTGGGGTTCCCAGGGCTCCCTCGGGGTCTGGTCTTCAGCCTGAGCCCACCCTGCAGCTCTCGCAGCTTCTCCCAGAGGTTCTGGCCCAGATGCCTGGCACTTCCTGTCTGGTCGTATGCTTTGGTTCCCAAAATTATGTCTTCAGTCAGACTGCTTTCCTGGATTTCAAATGCATTTCACATTTTCTCTTGAACGTCCCCGGGGGGCATCTTATAGAAACCCAATAGTCAAGCCATCGAATTTCCCTTGAAACACGTGCTATTTTCGTGGCCCCAATCCCAGGCTCCTTGCCTGTGCATCCCAGGGGCACCCCATCCGCCCTCGCACTGCACACCCCACCATTCCCCAAACACCTCCACGCTTGTGGGAGTGCTGCTCCTGGCGGCTAGACTCTCCTCGCGCCAATATCCTGCTCAGAAACTACTCACCCTTCCAGCACCTTCTCCCACGTCACCTCCTCTGGTACCTTGCCCTCTCCTCCAGGATGCAGTGAGCTTCCAGAGAACTTGTTCAGGGGTTCAAATACCACTTGCAACTTACCTAGTGACTTTTCTGTCACCGCCTGACTGTGACCGCCTGCCCCCAGGTGGTTCTCAAACCCCCGTGAACATCAGGATCCCCTGGGAGCCTGTAAAACAAGGGCCTCACACCTGGAGGCTCAGACTTGATGGTCTGGGGTGGAACCAGAGTGCTGAACCTCTAAAAGCTCCGAGAGGAGTCTAGAGGTCCCCGTAGGTGGGAGCTGCACCGGGTAACAGCCCCGCGTTCTGTTCCGTGTTTTCATCCAGTGTGTGGCGCAGCATCGGCGTGTGGTAGAAGATCTGTCTCTGTTTGTTGGGTGGGATGTGGGCAAGTGGACGGACAGATGTCCAGTGGGTGCTGAGGGAAAGCGGGGCCTTCTGAACTCAACAAGACAGAGAGAAGCTGAAAGAGACTCTCCATTTAGTTCAGATCCTCCGGGAACGGCGGCAGAGCTGAGCCCCACCCAGCTCCAAAGATCCCTGGTTACTCCACGGGGCAAACTGTCTGCATTTAATTTCTGGCAGATTCTCGCTTTTCCTCTGCATTCCCTCCCAACCCCCCACCTCCTCAGGGGCTCTGTAGACCGATAGCTTCTGAAGGCTCCCCAGGCCCCAGATCAGGTGTCTCCATGGCCCGAGGTATCACAGGATACAAGCCACAGACCTGAATAACCTGGCTGAACACCAGGGGCCTGGGACGTGTCCCATAAATGAGGTCCAGATGTCCAAGAGGCCTAATGACATCTCTGAGTCAGCCCTGGGCAGGGAGTCCGACCAAACACAAAAGCCAATTTCAGGAAAGTGAGGAAAACCTGAGTTGGAGACGTGCGTGGAGAAGAGAGAAGGCCCTCCCGTGGTGCTGTCTCCATCAGATGCAGCCGTGCTGTACCCCCACACGGCTCCCCTGCGGTCTGGTAGGATTCACTGACTCAAGAGCATTTTCAGCATAAAAAAGAGTAATGCTTGATTTAATTTTAAAGCCTCGGGTTTTCCTGGGAGAAGGGTGGGGGGAGACAGGAGAGGCTGCCCTTCTTCTCGAGCCATGACACCTGCTGCTGACAGGAAAACGCCCAGGACAGTGCCTTTCCAGGCAATTACTCCAGGGCAGGGAAATAAAAACAACCCATTTTCTCCTCAGTCTGCCAGCCTCTTTACATCTCTGGAAACAGGCTGCCCTGCCACAAACATCAGCTGTCACAGGCACAGTACAAGGAGGGAAGGATCCGGGCCAGGCAGAAGCATCCGGGCAGCTCCACTGTGGCCACAGGGACCCTCCAGAGAAGCGTGAGAGAGCACCAGGGTGGTTAGGGTCCAGCAGATGCTCTCCAGGGTCTGCCTGTGTTTCCAGGTCTGTTTTCACATAGAGAATTCATGAACTATATCAACACACAAATCTCACCTCCTTGGAAGAACAATGACAAGATTAGAGCAAAAACATGCATCTAAACTGATATCATTGAAATCCTTAACCCACATAAGTCATAGAAAAGCCAGCACCCTCCAGAGGCTCCCAGCTGGCAGGCTCCCCACACTCAAGCCAAGCCGAGAGGAGGATGCAGGTCTCCCGTGGGTGGAGAGCCAGGGGGCTTCTCCCACTCCCTCGCCACCTGCAGACCCTTGAGGGGTCTGGCCAGGGCCACACAGCTCACTACAGCCCTGGTCTGTGAAGACCGGTGTCCCTCGGAGAGGTTGGCGACATGAGTTAGTTTGGACTTGGCTGAGTCTATCGCATCTCAAACTGAAGGAACTAACGGTGCTGCAGTACGTGGCAGGAAGCAAGCCCTCCAGTGGTTTGTGTAGATACATGTATGAACAGCCACCCAGTTAGCTGAGATTCCAGCACACCCACCCAGTTAGCTATTCGGTACCAACCCGGCAACCCTGGTTACAGCTGATTGGACTGAGAAGGCACGCCTGACTGAAGGGCAGCCTGGCTCTGGGACCCTGCCAAACAGGTACGATCGTGACCTGACTGAGCTGATCAGATCCCGTGGCTTAGACCGTTTGAGAGACCAGCATTAAAATAAAGAATTAGCAGTTGGTAGAGGGAATAAAAATATTCTGCTTACCAAACAGGCAAACAAAGTCCATATCTCATCACCAGAGTGCCCAAAAAAATATTTTAGAAAGAATAGATATTTGTTTTATTTTGTAAAGCGTTAAAGTCATCATCACAGGGGAAAAAAATCAGAACTTTTTCTAGACTTATTCATATTTACCTTAAAACTTTGTATGGCTTTTACTTTGAAATTAGGGGTTGGGGGGAAAGCAGGCTATACATTTTCTCTTCTAGATGTCTTAATGTGAACCTGAAAACATGCACAGAGAAGGAGCAGGAAGCAGCAGCCCTGGAGCAGTAGAAGCCAGGAGTCAAACAGGAGGGTACCAGGCCACCAGAAGGCAAGATCAGCAGGTGCAAAGTCAGAGCCTCGCTGAGTCCCCGCAGGGACGGGCAGCAGAGAGGGACGGCAGGCCGCTCCCGAGGGGACACCTGCTGACATTCCTCGGGGCCCCAGGGCTGCCGCTGTGGCCTCGGTGTGGCCTTATTTCCCCCAGTAGCTGCTGCAAATCCCTATTCCTGAGCTTGAGTTTGTCTCTGCTTCTTGAAACCTAAAGGAGCCTAAGGCATCATATTAGCAAATAAAAGAAATATATTCAGATATTATTCCCAAAGCCAAAGGCGAGAACTGAAACGGGTGGACAGGATGTCATGATTCACTTGAGAGGTTTAATTCAAGAAGAGCTTTGCGTAGAAAGACAAACTTTGCAGAACATGGAATACATTCAGAAGACGGAGGCCGGGAAATAGGAATGTGGAGAGTAAAGGTTTTAGTTCAATATTAGGAAAAGCTTTTCAAAAATCTGAACTTTGTCTGAAGATGGGGTGGTCTACTTTACAAGGTAGTGAGTTGTTTGTCATTGAAAGTGTTCGAGGAGAGACGTGACAGTGCTTTGGCAGTGATGTTTTAAGAAGATATCTAAGAACCACCTCAGTTCTGAGAATATTTGAGACGGACCCTGCATCCATGAGCTTTCCTGGTGCAGAGCACAGACCCAGAGACTGACCACCCAGGCGTGTATCCTATGTGACCCTAAGCAAATGACTTAACCTCTTAGTGCAAATTTCCCAGTCTAAGAAATTAGAAAACAATAGTACTTATACCGTAGAGATGTCGTGAAGATTAAATAAAAGCATTCAAATAAAGAGTTTAGAACAACGCCTAGCACCTAAGAAGCACTAAATATATACACATATACGTGGTGGTTGTTAAGAATTTGTTCTCCAGGACTTGCTTCAAAGTGCTTATGGTCAAACTAATTCTAACTGTGAATGGAACATCTACTCATCATTGAAGGAAACAAATACTAGGACCATTTTGTTCATGTTTTTTATGTGTCATTAAATCAGTAAATGAATGGTTAAAAATGGCTCTCGGCTTGGGGATGTCGCTTTTTCCTCCTTTATAAAGTCCTGTATGACTTTAAAAAGAGCAAAGAAAGGCATGCCCAGGGCTGGAACTGGATTCCACATTGGGGCAGTAAATATTAACAGGGTGCCCGCCATGTGCACACAAGCGAAGAAAGAGTTTACTCTCCAGGAGCTCACTTCAGTCAGGGAAACGAGACAACAGTCAGGATCATCACAGACGGATGCAGGGAACCGATGGAGTGCTGTGAGGGATGGTGGAGGAGAGAGAGTGAATGTCCGCGTGTGGCCTGAATCCCCAGGGAGGGACACGTCCTCATTCCATGGGGGAAGATGCAAACGACTAAAGCAAATCCTTGTTACCACAAAAGGAGGAGAAGTGAGGATAGGCAAGAGTCTCTCCGTAATGTCCCAGATTTCTACTGAAAATAGAAACAGATTGGCCATTTTTACAGGCAAGAGAAGCCTTGGCCATGGTTTAGTCATGTGGCCTCAATTTAATCATCTTCTCCATTTCTCTGCAACCTCCGCAAACGTTAAATTTCTCACTTTTCTGATAGTCAATTCTGCCTCAGGGTAAGAAGATCACATTGATAACTGAAACTAGTACATAAAACTTCATTTTAATCAAAAATATCCAATTTCCTCAGCAAACCTTTAGTAGCCAGAATATCTCCTGATGGGCTGGGCTACAGGAAACCAGAGATTAGAGGAGGCACGAAGAGTCCAAACCACACCCCCAGGCTGTCAGGCTCCCACGTAATGGTCTTCTGGTCAGGCAGTTAATTAGTCAAGTTAAACTGGATGATTCTAACAAAGTATAACCCCCAAATCTCAATGGCTTAACATGACAGCAGTTAATTTCTTTGTTCACTTAAAGTCCAACAAGGACAAGCAATTCCCCGAGGCACCTTTTCCTCCCCGTGCTTTCTTAGAGATGCAGACACCTCCATCCTGGTTTCTAGGATGTGTGCGGCGTGGCAGGAGAGGGCAAGGAGCTCATGCCTCCCCTTAATCGCCTCCAATTGAAAGAAACACTCATCCCTCTTCTCACTGTCTGTTGGCCCAAACCAGATGCGTGGCTTCAACCTCCCTGCAAGGAGGGGAAAGCAGGGGAGCAACAGAGCACTTGGAGAGCTTTACCGCCTCTTCCGGAGACGGCATCGGCAGATCCCACCAGAAGCAAACTTGGGCTGAGGGCTGTCAGGGGCCTTGAAAATGCTCCTCAGGCAGACACGTGTGCCACAGCCTCAGCACCCCACAGCTTAAGAGTGCCCACTTGTTCGTGCTTAAAACACACGCGAGCCTTCCTTACAAAGGAGACACGTGAATCATGTTACAGACAGCAAACCAAGCCCCTGTGTTTGTGGAAGATGGGACTTTAAAGACGGCAGCAAAATCGACTTGTCAGACTTGTTCTTGTCAGAGTTGATCCAAGATTTGCAGACTGTCAGGCACCAGGGACTGGGCCCCACACACAGGAGCCCCACGGGATGTCAGGCACCATGGACTGGGCCCACACGCACGAGCCCCACGAGGTGTCAGGCACCGTGGACTGGGCCCACACGCACGAGCCCCACGGGGTGTCAGGCACCAGGGACTGGGCCCACACGCACAAGCCCCACGGGGTGTCAGGCACCGTGGACTGCGCCCACACGCACGAGCCCCACGGATTGTCAGGCACCAGGAACTGGGCCCACACACACGAGCCCCACGGGGTGTCAGGCACCAGGGACTGGGCCCAACGCACACGTGACCCCGTGGGGTGTAGATCATGTAATTGACAGGCTTTTTAAAAAAAATTATATCCACAACAAAACACGGAACCGTTCCGAGCTGAGGAATATAATAACTCTAATGAAAAATACCCTAGAGGGAATCAACAGCAGATTAGATGATGCACAAGAAAGGATCAGCAATCTGAAAGACAGAATAGTAGAAATCACCATCAGAACAGCAAAAAGAAAAGAGAATTTTAAAAAATTGAGGATAGCTTAAGTGACCTCTGGGACAGCATTAAGCATACTAACTTTCACATTATAGGGGTCCCAGAAGGAGAATCCCAGAAGGAAAAAAGAGAGAGAAAGGGGCAGAAAACCTATTTGAGGATATAATAGCTGAAAACTTCCCCAACGAGGTGAAGGAAACAGACATCCAAGTCAGGGAAGTACAGAGAGTCCCAAACAAGATGAACCAAAAGAGACCCACACTAAGACATATTACAATTAAAATTATGAAAGTTAAAGATAAAGAGAGAATCTTAAAAGCAGCAAGAGAAAAAAAACTAGTTATATACAAGGGAACCCCCATAAGACTATCAGCTGATTTTTCAGTAGAAACTTTACAAGAGAGAAGGGAGTGGCATGATATACTCAAACTCCTGAAAGAAAAAAGCTTACAACCAAGAATACTCCACTCAGCAAAGTTATCATTCAGAATTGAAGGAGAGAGAGAGTTTCCCAGACAAGCAAAAGCTAAAGGAGTTCATCACCACTAAACTGGTCTTATAAGAAACATTAAAGGGACTTCTTTTTTTTTTTTTTAACCTTTTGTTTTTGAAGAAGAAGAAGATCAGCCCTGAGCTAACATCCATGCTAATCCTCCTCGTTTTTGCTGAGGAAGACCAGCTCTGAGCTAACATCTATTGCCAATCCTCCTCCTTTTTTTTTCCCCAAAGCCCCAGTAGATAGTTGTATCTCATTGTTGCACATTCTTCTAGTTGCTGTATGTGGGATGCGGCCTCAGCATGGCCGGAGAAGCGGTGCGTCGGTGCGCACCCAGGATTCGAACCTGGGCCACCAGTAGCAGAGCACGCACACTTAACCGCTAAGCCACGGGGCCGGCCCTAAAGGGACTTCTTTACATGGAAAAGAAAGGCCATAACTAGAAAGAAGAAAATTATGAAACAAAAAAAAATCTCACTCGGGCCAGCCCCAGTGGCCTAGTGGTGAAGCGCACTCCGCTTTGGCGGCCTCAGTTCGGTTCTTCGGCACAGACCTACACCACTCGTCTGTGAGTGGCCATGCTTTGGTGGCTCGCGTACAAAAAAAAGAGGAAGACTGGCAGCAGATGTTAGCTCAGGGCAAATCTTTCTCAGCAAAAAAGAAAATCTCACTGGTAATGGCAAACATATTGTAAAGGTAGTAGATCTACCATCTATATAGCTAGCTTGAAGGTTCAAAGACAAAAGTAGTAAAATCATCTAAATCTATAATAATTAGTTAAAAAATACACAAAATAAAAAAATGTAAAATATAACGTCAAAAACATAAAGTGCAGGGGGGAATGGAATAAAAACTTAGTGCTTTTAGAATGCGCTCAAACTCAAGCAACCATCTACTTAAAATGGACTACTATACACATAGGATGCTGTATATGAACCTCATGGTAACCACAAACCAAAAACCCATAATAGATACACAACAAATAAAGAGAAAGGAACCCAAACGTAACACTAAATGAAGTCATCAAATCACAAGGGAAGAGAGCAAGAGAAGAAAGGAACAGAGAAGAACTACAGAAACATCCAGAAGACAATTAACAACGTGGCAGTAAGTACATACTATCAATAATTACTTTAAATGTAAAAGGACTAAACGCTGCAATCAAAATATTTAGGTGGCTGAATGGATAAAATAAAGACTCCTCTGTGCGCTGCCTACAAGACACTCACTTCAGACCTAAAGACACACAGACTGAAAGTGAGGGGATGGAAAAAGACACTCCATGCAAATGGAAATGAAAAGAAAATAGCAATATTTATATTAGACAAAATAAACTCCAAAACAAAGGCTGTAACAAAAGACAAAGAAGGACGTTACATAGTGATACAGAGGACAATCTAATAAGAGAACATAACACCTATACATATCTATGCACCCAACATAAGAGCACCTAAATACATAAAGCAAATAATAACAGACATAAACTGAGAAATTGACAGTAAAAAATAATAGTAGGGACTTTAACCCCACTTATATCAATGGATAGATCATCCAGACAGAAAAAAACAAGGAAACATTGGCTGTAAATGACACCTTAGACCAGATGGACTTAATAGACATATACAGAACATTCCATCAGAAAACTGCAGAATACACATTCTTTTCCAGTGCCCACGGAACATTCTCCAGGACAGATCACATAATAGGCCACAAAACAAGTCTCAATAAATTTGAGAAGACTGAAATCATATCAAGTATCTTTTCCAACCAGAACAGTATAAAACTAGAAATAAATTACAAGAAGAAAACTGGAAAAAACACAAACACATGGAGACTAAACAATATGCTACTAAACAACCAATGGGTCAACAAAGAAATCAAAGAGAATATCAAAAAATAACTTGAGACAGATGAAAATGGAGACACAATACTCCAAAATGTATGGGATGCAGCAAAAACAGTTCTCAGGGGGAAGTCCATAGTGATACAGGCCCATCTCAGGAAACAAGAAAAATCTCAAATAAACAATTTAACCTTACACCTAAAAGTATGAGAAAAAGAAGAACAAACAAAGACCAAAGTTAGCAGAAGGAAGAAAATAAAGATCAAAGTGAAAATAAATGAAATAGAGACTAAAAAAATAGAAAAAAAGTCAATGAAACTAAGAGCTGGTTCTTTGAAAAGAGAAACAAAATTGACAAACCTTTAGCCAGACTCATTAAGAAAAAGAGAGCGCCCAAACAAAGAAAATCAGAAACAGAGGAGATGTTACAATCGAAACCACAGAAATACGAAGGATCATAAGAGATTACTACAAACAATTATACACCAACAAATTAGAGAATCCAGAAGAAATGAGTAAATTCCTAGAAGCACACATTCTTCCAAGATTGAATAAGGAAGAAATAGAAAATCTGAACAGACCAATTACTAGTAATGAAATTGAATCAGTAATGAAAAACCTCCCAACAAACAAAAGTCCAGGACCAGATGGCTTCACAGGTGAATTCTACCAAACATTTAAAGAAGAGTTAATACCTATCCTTCTCAAACTTCCAAAAAATTGAAGAGGAAGGAATGATTCCAAACTCATTCTGTCTGATACCAAAACCAGACAAAGACACAAAGAAAGAAAATTATAGGCCAATATCCCTAATGAACATAGATCCAAAAATCCTCAACAAAATATTAGGGAAGCAAATACAACAATATATTAAAAGGACCAAACATCATGATCAAGTGGGATTTATTCCAGGGATGCAAGGATGGTTCAACATCTGCAAATCAATCAACAGGATACACCACCTTAACAAAATGAAAGCTAACAATCATGATCATCTCGATAGATGCAGAAAAAGCATTTAACAAGATTCGACATTCATTTATGATAAGAATTCTCAATAGAATGAGTATATAAGGGAAGTACCTCAAAATAATAAAGGCCATATATGACAAACCCACAGCTAACATACTCAATGGTGAAAAGCTGAAAGCATTTCCTTTAAGATCAGGAACAAGACAAGGATCCCATTCTCACCACATTTAAACATAATATTGGAAGTCTTAGCCACAGCAATCAGACAAGAAAAAGAAATAAAAGACATCCAAATTGGAAAGAAAGAAGTAAAACTGTCACTATTTGCATGACACAATGCTATATATAGAAAATCCTAAAGACTGTACCAAAAAAATATTGGAATCAATAAATGAATTCAGTAAAGTTGCAGGATACAAAATCCATATACAGAAATCTGTTGCAATTCTATACACTAATAACGAACAATCAGAAAGAGAAATTAAGAAAACAATGCCATTTACAATTGCATCAAAAAGAATAAAATACCTAGGAATAAATTTAACCAAGGAAGTAAAAGACCTGTACTCTGACAACTACAAGATATTGATGAAAGAAACTGAAGATGACACAAATAAATAGAAAGATATACCATGCTCATGGATTAGAAGAATTAACATTGTTAAAGTGGCCATACTACCCAAAGCAATCTACAATTTCAATGCAATCCCTATCAAAACTCCAATGGCATGTTTCACAGAACTAGAACAAATAATCTTAAAATTTGTATGAAACCACAAAAGACCCCGAATAGCCAAAGTAATCTTGAGCAAGAAGAAAAAACCTGGAAGTATCACACTCCCTGATTTCAAACTATACTACAAAGCTTTAGTAATCAATACTCTATGGTACTGGCACAAAAACAGACACATAGATCAATGGAACAGACTAAAGAGCCCAGAAATAAACCCACACTTACATGGTCAATTAATCTACAACAAAGGAGACACGAACATACAATGAGGAAGACAGTCTCTTCAATAAATGGTGTTGGGAAAACTGGACAGCCACATGTAAAAAAATGAAACTGGACCACTTTCTTACACCATATATAAAAATAAATTCACAATGGATTAAAGACTTAAATGTAAGATCTGAAACCATAAAACTCCTAGAAGAAAACATAGGCACATTGGTCTTAGCAATATTTTTGTGGATCTGTCTCCTCAGGCAAAGGCAACAAAAGCAAAAATAAACAAATGGGACTACATCAAACTAAAAAGTTTTCACGCTTTTTAAGGAAACCATCAACAAAACGAAAAGGCAACCTACTGAATGGGAGAAGATAGTTGCAAATGATATATTCAATAAGGAATTAATATCCAAAATGTATAAAGAACTCATACAACTCAGTATCAAAAAAACAAACAATCCAATTAAAAAATGGGCAGAGGACTTGAATAGATATTTTTCCAAAGAAGACATACAGATGGCCAACAGATACATGAAAAGATGCTCAACATCCCTCATGATCAGGGAAATGCAAATCAAAACCACAATGAGATACCACCTCACCCCTGTCAGAATGGCTGTTACTAAAAAGATAAGAAACAACAAGTGTTGGCAAGGATGTGGAGAAATGGACACTCTTGTGCAGTGTTGGTGGGAATGTAAATTGGTGCAGCCACTATGGAAAACAGTTAGGAGGTTCCTCAAAAACTCAAAAATAAAAGCACCATATGATCCAGCAACTCTACTTCTTTATCCAAAGAAAACAAAAATGCTAATTCAAAAAGATATATGCACCCCTATGTTCATTGCAGCATTATTTACAATAGCCAAGACATGGAAGCTAGCTAAGTGTCCTTTGATAGATGAATAGATAAAGAATTTGTGGTATATATACACAGTGGAATATTACTCAGCCATAAAAAAGAATAAAACCTTGCCATTTGCGACAACATGGGTGGATCTAGAGGTATTATGCTAAGTGAAATAAATCAGACAAAGACAAATACCATATGATTTCACTTATATGTAGAATCTAAAAAACAAAGCAAATGAACAAACAAAACAAAACAGAAACAACTTCATAGATACAGAGAACAAACTGCTGGTCACCAGAGGGGAGGAGTGTGAGGGGATGAGCTAAATAGGTGAAGGGGATTAAGACCTCCTAATCAAACTTCCAGTTATAAATAAATAAGTCACAGGAATGTAATGTATGGCATAGGGAATACAGTCAATAATATGGTAATAACTTTGTACAGTGACAGATGTTGCTAGACTTGTGGTGATCATTTCATAGTGTATATAAATGTTGAATCACTATATTGTACACCTGAAACTAATATAACATTGTATGTCAATTATACTTCAATAAAAGAAGAGAATACAGGGGCTGGCCCCGTGATGTAGTGGTTAAGTTCATCACGCTCCGCTTTGGTGGCCCAGGTTCACAGGTTCAGATCCCGGGCGAGGACGTACACCACTCATCAGCCATGCTATGGCAGTGACCCACATACAAAATAGAGGAAGACTGGCACAGATGTCAGCTCAGGGCTAATCTTTCTCAGGGAGGGAAAAAAAAAAGATAATACAAGATAAATAATCCTAAAGTTGAAAATTGAATGGAAGCAACAATAAGCCAAATACGTTGAACAAATCTGTGACTATCTGAAATCTGTAAATGGTAGTCTCCAGACTGCTGAGATGAAAATACCCTTGCATGGAAATTCTGCATTTCTTGGACTTGGGAGTATTGTCTTCTTGTTCTTACACTGTCATCAGGGCAGATAATCATTAACTATCCATCTTTATTTAGCCTTAACAGATCAAAGAAGAGCCTATTTTATGCATCAGAGAATGTCTCAGATATCGGTTACCAACTGATAAATCAAGGGCAGAATGTTAGAAGGGACCCTCAGAAATCCTAGGACAATCTAACGTGACGGTGTAATTATTTTTCTCTTCCTCGGGGAACAAAAGGAAGTTAATAGACTGTAACCATTGTTTGTAAGCAAGTTATAAGAAGATCTACGTGCCTCTTTTCCGGAAGATAAATACACTGAGGAAAGAGAAAATGTAACGCCTGCCAAACAGCTTGCTCAAAGCCCCGTTAGAAGCTGTGCTGACTTGTCTCTACCGTTCTTCCGGAGGAGAGAAAGCACCCGTCTCCACTGTCCTGACTGAGTCAGGAGAACTATTACCGACAGACACAAGGGACCCGACCTTCCTGCTCTGAAGAAGGTCTAGAAAAGAATCAGACCACGCCCCATTACTCCTATTTTCTGCTGGAACGGGCACCTCATTTCTGCCGAGGTCTTGGGAACTATGAGCAGAAGCTTTCTGCTGTAGTCCATCCCCAGGAAAGCTCTGCCACTGAGGCTTCCACGACTATTCCGGTCTTTAAATCTCACTGTGGCAGAAAGCTGGAAGGCAGACATATAAGAATATTACTTAGCTCTGTATTTGATAGTGAAGAAAGGGACAACAAAATCCTTTGACTTGGAGTCCCAAAATGTTCATCTTGTTGCAAGGAAAACAAAATCAGTAACTTCCAACTCTGGCTTCAGAGGCATCCTTTAATCTTGGAAAAGTCCCATGACACTTTATTCAATGGTCAACTGGACTAATAAGTGCTGCGTTTCCCTGCACCTGCGCTTATACAGCAGCTCTATATACAGCCACTGAGCTATCTGTGCAGATGCTCAAAGGACAGGAAGGGAAATGCACAGAGAACAGCTTTAGTGCTTCCACAGAGCGGAAGCTGGTCTTTACCAACCGGTGTGCAGTCAGACACTGACCTGATTTATTCCCTTTGTTAACTTGATGTTCAAGGGCCATCACTGTGGTTGTTGCTGTTGGTTTTAATCTCCCTTTAAAAACGTGTACAGAACTTTGCTAGGTAATTCAAACCTGAAGACAATTTGGAAAATACTTCAGTAGCTCGTATGCTCTGGAGCATTAAGCAGGTATAAAGCTGTTCCAAAGAAGTAAATAGGGGAAAAATGTACCCAGCTCATTAGCTTTGTTCAGCCATCCCCGTTACAGCCAAAGAGTCTTCAGGAAAACAGTGCAAGACAAAAAGCCAATTTAAAACTAACGTCACGGGGGAAAATGGTCCTAAACCCTAAATAAGTTGTTTTAAAAGAAAAATAATGAAACCACTAGCTTAAAAGCAAAACAAATTTTAAAAGCTCTACGTGCCTCTTTTCTGGAAGATAAATACACTGAGGAAAGAGAAAATGTAACGAGTGGGGAC